AGTGGTCGTTGTCTGATGATTGGTTGTATTTTATGTTAGTGAGTTGAATATTACTATCCGTTTTGATATTTTGTTGTATTGTTTTGTTGTTATTAGTTGTTGGAGCCATACTGGAATCCGCGCAGGGCACTGGTCACGCGCTCTCCCAATCCAGTAGGTTGTTATGTTGTTTTGATGTAAGTGGGTGGTACAAAATGTGATTGGTATTTTGTATGTCGTAGATCTTTTGATGGGGGTAAACTGATTTCGGTTTTTTGGATGAAAAAATTTTTGTATAGGAATTTAAGGGTTTTGGATATGAAATATTGGCGAGAACTAATGGCTAGCCAGAGGATATGGAGAATCTTTTACTAGTCATTATCAGTAGAAAACAAAAACTCTGAAAAAATAAAATACTGTTTCTTGTGTATATTTAATTTAAGTATTGTTTGGTTATATTTTAAAGATTGTGATTATTTGATGTGAGGAAAGGCCTAAACATGAAAAAGCTTTTTATTTATCTTCTGATGGCCAAGCTATTTGACCAATACCTTGCAATGGGTACTAGATCTTCTTGAGTGGGGCCAGTTTCGTTCTTCCCGGAAAACCATTGCTGGAACTCTGCTATTCAATAGCAGTTCTTAGAATTATATTTCCCCTTCCAAAAAAATATAATCCGCTAGTCAAAGTTTCTTGGAAGAAAGAAGATTTTCTAAAAAGGCAATTTTCATGAAAGGAGTTGTTTGTAGGAAAGAGTTTTTTTTTTTTAAAAAAAAATATATAATATTATTATAAACTTTTTTTAATATAATTAAAATATAAAAAAGATTTATAAATCTGTTTATTGCTTAATCACAAATTTTATTTTGATATAATATAAAAAATTATTATGAATAAAAGTTTATTTATTTATAATTTATAAAAAAAATTTATATGGAGATTTTTATAAATCTTTTAATAAAAATTTTTTAAATTATTTTTTGAATATGTGTTTTATAATTTTTAAAATAAAAATAATTTTCAAATATAAAAAAAAAAAGTTTTAATATATATATATATATATTTATAGTAGAACAGACATTAGATGTCAACTGTTTATTGATATATATGATATCACAATTACATCAAACATCTTCTGCAATGCTAGACTATAGCTTAATGCTAGTCTATCCTACTTTTAATACCTTAGCAATACTAGTAACACTCGAGAAGTGGGTTCATATTTTTGGGAGGAACCTATCTAGGAGATGGAAGTCCTATCACTAGTTTAAACCACCTAATCTACTGGTCCAATTTTTATGTAAGGGCACTAAATACTGCTGATTATTTCCCAAGGTTGCTTATCACTTTATATCTTTTTACTCAACTTAATCTTATGACAAAGGGGCCTTAAGGTATTTTAACATACTTTCTAGTGAATGCTCCAGTTTTGATCGCTGGTTGGCTTTAGTTATCAAATCTAGGGGCCATATGGCCATCGGGATATGACTCCTTAAGAAATTCCTTAGCTGGATACTCTAAGTCCTTTCAAGAAATTTCTTAATCTTCTAGTAGATATCCAGTTTCAGTTCGGTTGGCTTAAGCTGTCAAATTTAGGGGCATAAATGCCAAGTAGGACACAACTCCTACATTAACCAAGGGGAACCATGTTGCACAAGTATAGTGTTGGTTCAGTGCTCTTCTTCAAAGCTTCCTTATTCAACAGTTAACAGGGAAAGGGAGGAAATGGCAGCTTGGGATTGGTTTAGATAGAGTATAGTTCAGTCTGCACATTCAAATGTATAAGTGATTTTATGGCTCCTTTCGTAGATGATCATCGTGATACTATTCAGACGATTGTCACATTACTACGCCTTAACAGGGATCACAATCTCAACGCCTATCAGATCAGCATATAAAACAGCTTCTCATGAGAAATAGCACATAATTGGTTATGATGCCAAATATTATATTGATTCTATTCAATTACTTTCACATGGGGTTGAATCGGTATTTTGTGATTTGACCTGTGGAGCACATAGGTCAAAGTTTTAATATATTTTTATTATATTAAAAAATTTTGTTTGTATTATTTTATAAAAACAATTTAATATAATTTTTTTAGTTTTAACAATTTAAAAAAAAATCTATTTTTTTATTTTTTTTAATATGATTTATAACTTTATAAAATAAATTAATATTTTAAATTCAAAATATTGAATTAAAATTTTTAAACAAATTATAAAATAAAATTTCAAAATTATGATTTATACTTTAAAATATGTGTAGTATTAAATAAATGATAGTAATATAAGAAAAAAAATTTAAAAATTTTTTTATAATCTTAATTCAAATTTATTTATTTATATTAAGGAAATTAAAAAAATATATGTATTGTAAATAAGAATATTTGTTTTAAACTTTAATACAGTAAATGTTAAGATAATTAATTAATTAACAAATAAACATTAAAAGTGATATCGACAACAGCACAACATCAATAAACTTGATGCTATTTTTAATTGATTGAATTTAATCTAAATAATTTTAGTTTAATTTGATTGAATTTAATCTAAGTGATTTTAGTTTAATTGATAATTATAATGCTTAAATAAAATTGGTATCAAATAAGAAAAAAATCAAGATGTTAATCGATACCTTTGATATCTTATCTTGCAAAATCCAATGCTTTTGATATTTTATCTTGAAAAATCAGATATTTTGATATCATATCTTGCAAAATTAAGGTTTTCGAATTTAAAATATTCATTTTTGATCACATTATCTAACCAATATTGTTTAAAATCTGACAATCAATTTAGACTGATTTTTAAACTGATCTGAAACCGCTCGTTGGCTTTCAATCAAATTTTGTTTACGATACATGTGTTTGCTTGCATACGAGTGATGAAAATCAAGGCTTAGCTTTTCGAGAATAAATTTTTTGCACCACGCATATTTAAGGTTATATTACGTAATGCAATGACAAGGCAATGAAAACTTTTCCAATAAAAAAAGAAACTCGATAGATATCATTTTTGCTTATACTAAGTTTCCTTATCAATATATCATCGCAAGATGCACCACGAAAGTGTAATTGCAGGAGTATGCAATTGATAATCTGGAATGGCAAGAACATTACAAGTAGTTGGTATAAATCAAATGCTAGCATTGTTCAAAAGGTCAAATAATAGCAAAAATCGGGCATCGTTTGATATTGGTTCATATGTGGATATCCCATTTTTCACATTACCCTTGTACCGTTTTGACGAGTAGCAATAATCTGTTCATGGAGAAAATTAAGAGATCGTAAAATTTGGGAGTAAAAACTTGTCTATTTCGGGTGGATTTAGGATCAGCAACATTCGGATCTTCTATGTTATGTAATTTAACACACATCAAGAATGTTTTACTAAGATTATTCCATTGACAAAGCAAATGCTTACGTGATTGACTCCACACTTACCTCCCCCGTTTTCACAAACAAGAGAATCAAGGCGCCCTTTGTACAACTGAAGCTGATTTGGCGTAATGGCAATGGAGACAGACGGGAAGGGATTCCGAGTCAGGTGATTCCTCTTGAAGAAAAGTATGAAAGGATAAAAGTCAAGATATTCAGGTTATTTAAGAAAAAAGGAGTTCCTATTTAAGAAGTAATTATCTAAGAATTATTGAGATATGGTCATGGTAGGGATGTTAAATGGCTTTAAATTTCTCGTTCAGGTTCCAAATTACATAAACCAAACCTAACTAGCAGTTCAACCGGTTTCGATGTCGAGAATTTGTAGACCGGTCAACTGATAGTTTGGGGGCGAACCGGAAACGATTTACTATATATAAGTTTGATCATGATATTATTTTATTATTTTTCAAATAACTAAATAAATATATAATTTATTCTTAAATTATAATTTATTTTTTTAAAAAAATTTGTTATTTTAAAGAATATCATTCATTCATTATTACCATAATTATTATAAATTGAATTAAAAAAATATATAGTTAATAGAGGTATTACCAATCACTATCTATCTAAATCTTGGATGATCGACTGCCTCCGTACATCACCGCATTACCTACTCCCTTGTACCTTCATGACCGTTTTTTTTTTCTTTTTCAAATTACTTACGGCTCAAGTGTTACGGTCTTGACTAATTGACTTAAATGGATTTGTTGTCTTTACCATCACCCTACATACATCGAAAGGTGGAGAGACACCTTAAATATAGTCGCATCTCATTAAATGTAAAAAAATAAAAATATAAACACAGTATTCTAGGCTGTAACTCGATGCTGTGCATTTGTATTCATTTGTTTTGTCAACACAAAAATAAAACTGCAAAGCAAAACCTCTCGTTGGCGTACCTCTTTGGTCAATCAGATTTTTCGGCATTTGGCGTAAACGTTCGCCAAGTTTTCAATTCAAATTAGGAAACCCTCGTGACCACTCTACATCAATGTTTGGAAATTAGAAACAGGGAATTGTATGCACGGAAAAATGAAGGGAAACGTGAGATCGAAAACCGAGGATCGATTCTACGTTACTATTAATTTTTGATTATCTGCATTTCGTTTCCTTATTATTTAAAGTTCCGAAGGTTATCAGAAATATGTAGATTCATATGTCTTTGTATACGTGCGCTATGTGATCATCATATTACCCCTTATCAACCTCCTTGATCATTAACAGATAACAGGTAATGGAATTACTAATTCAAATAGGAGGACCAACCAATTTTTTTATTCTTGCCACACATTTCGCAATGTGAAAACACGCGACCAAACTTGTGGATGACGTTCATGCATATATTATATGATTTTAAATTTGTTCCATAAAAGGTTATTATGGAAAGACCGACCTACAATTCATATAGTATATTGTAACCTGCATAATGATGCAATATTCATAAACATGGATCTTCCGGAGACACTTCGGTTCTAAACAATAAATATATCATGTTGATCATGCATTTTCTTTTAAAAGCACTTGGTCAAAAATGCATCCCTAGAATGACATACAATCTTTTCTTTCTAAACAAACAATGTTGGCCACCGCGAAGCTGTTAATATTGGTGGTACCAGTATTAATCTTTCTTATATTCGCCGAAATTTATGACTTTGGCTTGGATTCGTCGTTGAGACCAATAGAGCAACCAAACGAACTTCGCGGCAATTTTTTACATATTACCGACTTCCATCCGGATCCTCATTATGTGGCGAATTCCCTGGTGAAAACAAGATGTCATGGAAATGTCTCGTCAGCCAAGAAACCCGCTCACATGACCAAAGGTATTTCTGGAAGCTGGGGAGCTTCGGCGACCATATGTGATTCTCCGATGGGTTTAATAAATGCAACGTTTGAGTGGTTGGAAAACAATTGGAAAGATAAACTCGATTTCATAATTTGGACTGGCGATAATTCCAGGTAATTTATTATATTATTCTTTACTTATTCTTGATGACAAATTTTTCTTGAATGCATTTTTTTTTTATTAAAAAAAAAAAAAAATCCTACTTTTCTTTCCAACCACCTGAATTCTCAAAATAGACACGATAATGATGAAAACATGCCACGGACACCACAAGAATTGTTTGGGCTTAACCGGATGATAACCTCAAAATTTCTCCAAACCTTCTCTAGTATTCGACAACCGCGTAGGAAACCGGTCCCACATTTCATACCAATAGTCCCATCCATAGGTAATCACGATATTTATCCTAATAACATCCTTCTTCCCGGACCAAACGATATATTATCAACTCTTTATGATATTTGGGCACCCTTCATCCCTCGCAATCAACGTCACACCTTCCTTCACGGTGGTTATTACTATACAGAAGTGATACCAAAAAAATTACTAGTTGTCTCCTTGAACACCATGTACTTTTATAATTCCAACACTGCAGTAAACGGATGTAAAGAACCGGGACAACCAGGAACCAAGGAATTGAAATGGTTGAATGGAGTCCTAAAGAAGGCAAGGAAAGATGGAATGAAGGTTTATTTGACTGGTCATGTCGCCCCGAGACATAAACAATATACGAAATCTTGTTATAAGAAATATGGAAAGCTAGCTCTCAAATATCATGAAGTCATATTAGGCCATTACTACGGACATTCGAACATGGATCATTTCTTCTTTATTGGTGCAAATGTCATCGATAAAAATCGCAATAATACTAACGACGAAATCATATTGGCCAAGGACGACGAGGATTATGATTCGTATGATGATGTCTATGAGGACGAATCGCCATCCAAAGAGGATAGTTACAATGATGAACCCTCTGTGAATATCTCTTCCGAATCTGAAATTGACAAATATTTAGATAAGCTTCTTAACCACTATCAATCTGTTCCGCCAATCTCCGAAGTCGTTGCCGAAGATTATGCTGTAGTTCACATAAACCCATCCATAATTCCGGTATTTTATCCGGCATTAAGAATTATCAAGTATAATACTACTGAAGTGACATCGCCGAAATACGACGACGACGACGACGACGACGATGATGATGATGATGATGATGCCAAGACTTCAAAAAGGAAAAAAAAACCTAAGAACCACGATCCGAATTCACCTTCCCACTCCAACACATTCTTGACACCATTAGGATATACACAATATTTCATCAATCTCACGGAGGCTAACAGATATCCGAACAAAACGCCTGTCTTTGAGGTAGAATATACGACGTGGAATGATTATAGGATGAAGGATCTGACAGTAAAAAGTTGGATAAAGTTGGCGCGAGATTTGGCTGATCACGGATTGAAAGGTTCATTGTGGAAGAAATACAGGGATCATTTGATGGTTGGGACGAGGTCACTGGTGAAAGAGAGAAATAAAAAACTCGTTCAAAATTGTATATACTCTAAATGTAGCGCTAAGGGACCCGGTGATTATTTGATTACTGAACTTGACTTTTAATCAATATCGAAAATTTATAACCAATTTAATTATACATTGTAAACATTCCTTTTTCTTTCTTTCTTTTTTTTGCATTTTCTGCATTTTTTCTTGCATTTGTTGTTTATTCATTACATCTCACTCAAAATCAAAATAAAGACATAATTTCGCATTGTTAGAATTTTATTTGAAATTCGATAAAGGATATAACATCCCGATATCGTAGACATGCGATTAGACTTTTTACAAGTTAGCACGCTAAAATTAGAATGACATGTAAAAGTTCATTCTAACTAGAATCCGTTTTCGCATATTTTTAGAAAAAATGATGAGCGATAAAAATGTCGCAATAGAATAAGCATAATTTTTTGTAATAAAAAAAAACATCTTAACACTATATGCTATATCGATTTGAAAATAGATTCTTATGTTGTCATATTACTTCTAGAAGATACCAGGGGCGATATAAAAACTATTTTTATCTTATCGCTGTATTCATGTGAATTTGAAAAGGGATTTTCAATTTATCATTTATGAATTTTATTTACAGTATATACGTGTAAATCTATATGAAAAATGGTGACGGAAATTAATAATACAGTATACCATCATACGTCATTTAAAAATATTTTATATGAGTTGGGTTGATGAAATTAATAATTTCTTACTATATAAGTATATTTGATGATGTTATTATGGACTAATATAGTTAAAAAACTGTAATTTTGTAATTTTTATATACACTTAGTCTTAAAAACGTGTTTAGGGTGCAAATATTCATTCTCAACGATATACTTGCGTGATTTATTAATTTAAATTACTGTATCTAAAACTTATCAATATATTTTTCAATACTTTAATAATAAGTTTCTTACAAATATTTATATATAATACAATTGGTATAATAGTATGAGTTTTTTAAAATATTATTTTTAACATTTTCAAAATTGAAAAATAAATCAATGAAAATTTAATTTATATATATTTTATAATAAAAACTGATTGAATAAATTGCAAAATACATTAAATTCAAATTCAAATTTTTTTTAAAAAATTTTTTATATATTTAGAATTATAAATATTATTTTATGGATTTATTTTATTAATTAATTTAATAAAATGAAAAAAAATATATTTTTAAAAAATTACAATAAAGAAATATCGATTTTTGTTATTTTTTTAAAAAAAATTCTTAATTTTAAAATTAATAAATCATTGTAATTTTTATTTATTTTATTTTAAAACTTATTTATAAAGTTTCATAATATTTAAATAATTTGATATTAATTTATTAATAAAATATATGTTTAAAAAAAATTTTTTTTTTTTTTAATACTATATTATATATAAAATAAATTTAATAAATTTTTTTATTAATTTTTTTTGTTAATTCAAAAAATATAAATATCAATTATTATTTGTTTTGTTTTTTTTAAAAAACATTTTTCTTGTTTATTTTTATAAAATATAAAAAATTTATTTAAAAAATTTATAACAAGAACAACTTATAAAAAAAATTCAATTATATATATACTGTATAATTTGATACAAAAATCCTTAAATTTTTTCAAAAATTTATTTTTATTTATAATTTTATAAATATTTATAAAACAAACCAATATTTATATGTTTTTTATTTAAAGATTTAAAAGTTAGAATTATTAAAAAAAATTTTTTTATTATATTATAATAATATTATTAAATTTAAATTTAAAAACAAAAAATTTTTTAAAAATAATGATTATTTTAATTTTAATTTTTTTTTATATTTTTAATTAGATTACAAATTGTTATATTTATTAATCTTTTTAAACAAAATATATTAATACAATTTTGTATTATAACTAAACATTCTTATAAATTATAATATATCTATTAATAAATCTAATAAATTTATATATAATCATTAAATCCTTAATATCAAGACTACTATGTTACCCATATAATTTAATTATTTATTAACTATTTATTAACTATTTTATTACAAGGGAATTGATTTATTAAGCTATTATTGCATAATATTAATTATCTTAAACTTTTTAAATTCTTTTAACTTTTTAGATAAAATTATAGAAAATAAAGAAATTGCTTTTCTTTAATAAGATACTTTTTTAATTTCAACTAAAAAATTATTGTCAATCAATATTTTTAACTGATACTTTAATATAATTATTATAATTCTAAAGGATAAAAAATTTTTATTTTCTAGAAAAAAAGAAAAAAATATAAAGAAAAAAAAATTTTGTTTTGATAAATAAAAACTTATTTATATCAATCACTAGTCTAATAAGAATTTTTTTTAATTTTGAAGAAAAAAAAAATTAATATAAAAAAAAAAGAAAACTTTAAACTATTTTTAAAAAGAAAATATCTCAATACCTTGTTTTTTTATTATATTCAGTTATATTCTTAATTTTAGTATAGTATAATATAGAATATATAAAAGTATATATCTTGTTTACATTTCTTTTTATATTATTTAATTAGTTCAAAATTTTGATCATTCACCAATTAAAATTTCTAGTGTAACAAAAAATCTAAAATCAAACTAATGTAGATAAAATCTTAAAAAAAACTCAAAAAATTTTTAATATACTTAAAAGTATTATTATAAATATATATTATTGATAAAAAAAGATTATATATCTGAGAGAATAAACTCTACTAGCTTATTTACCTGTTTTAATTTAAAGTGTTTACTTATAATAGATCCAAGATTCTTATAAGCTTGGGAAATGCATTCATTTTCTAGAGTTTCAGATCTAAAAAAAATATAATAAAGAGTATTTTTTTAATAGATTTTTTTTTCAATAAACTATTTTTGCCATAAATTAAATAGATAAAGTTTATTTATTTTGTTATTAAATTATAATAAGTTTTTTGAAGAAAAAAAAATAAACAAGTAAAAAAGATATAACCTTTAAAAAATAAAGTATTAAAAAAAATATATAGACTTTGTTATAAAAAAAAATTTTTTTTGAGAATATTTATTTTTTGGATTGGTAAAAAAATTAGTAAAAAGAATATAATTGATTATTTTTAAAAATTATCAATTATTTATTATTAATAAAAATTTATTATTTAAATAATTTATAATTTAATAATTGATTTTTAAAATTTTTTAAAGTTAATTTTTATTAAAAATTAATATTTTAATATTTTCACTATAAAAAAATAATTTGTATATAATAATAAATAGATATAAATATATAATATATATTAACAAAAAAACTCTCCTAATTATATTTGTTTTGCTTAAATTTTTATAAATAATAATTTTGATTAAAAAAAATGTTTTACATTTTTTATTACAAGTAAGTCCTAGCTTAAGAATCCAAGAATACTAAAAATAATTGATATAATGGAATGAAATCTTTAATAAAAATCTACTTAAGTTTGGAAGTCTTGTTTATTCTTTAGTTGTATAGAGAAAGATCCATGATAATATACTTTTATTCTTTAATTCTTTTGCAATCCAAACCCTTTATTATTATAAAAATCATTCTAATCCATCATCATAATAGTTAAACTCATAAACACTTTTCAAAAAATATACTTAAACAAAATTATAGGGTTTAATATTTGTTTTAATACAACCTTTATATACTTTTTTATTCTGATATCACTTATTGTATCACTTAAAAAAATCTATAATTTTTTCAGTCTCAAAAACTGAAATCAGTTTATTCTTTTCAATCAATTGATGTTTGATAACCATCCAATCAAAATTCATTACATTATCCAACTATAGTATAACAACAAAATTGGTTTAAACTGATTTACCAATTTAACAATAACAACTGGTTTAAACCAGTTTATTTATTTAATTACTATTACAACAACAATATTATAATAAATAACTTTAAGTATATTCTATTATCCATATTAAGAAAAGAAGTATTAACAAGTCAAAAAGAATCAAAAAAATAGAACAATAAGTTCAGTTGAAAATTTTATAATTTATTCAACTTTGTTTTAATTTTAGTTATTTTTATTTTTTTCTTCAAAATTCTTAAATATAAAAATTTTTTTTTCTGAATAGGTGAATATAGCTTGCTATTCAGTCTTTTTTTAACAATAATATTGTTTAAAATTTCTTTTCTTTTTATTTAAACATTATATGAGTAGGCAAGCTAATATTTAATTTATTGTATGTTTTTGTACCTAAGAAATATTGTTATTTCTTTTCAAATATATATGTAATTATATATATAAAAAATAAAGAAATAGTATTTATCTACTTTAAAAAAAAACAATATATATTAACAAAGAAAAAAAAACACTCTTTCATAAATATTTGAATTACAAAAATTATCAAATAAAGAAATTTCTTTCAAGAAAAAAATCAAAGATCTTAAAGAAAATTTTTCTTTCAAGAGTTAAGCAAATAGTATAAATATATTCTGATTAATATCCTTGTTATTAATATTTAAAATCTTAAGCTATAATTATTTATAAAAATATAAAAATTAATAAAATTATCATTATTGAAAAACTCTTTCCGCTAATCCTCTTACCAACCCAAAAAACAGACATTCTCAAAAATAATTTTTATTTTTAATAATAAAGTCTATATACTTTCTTTAAAAACATTACTTCCTGAAGGCAGGTGCCTCCC